GGAACACCTTATTCATTGTAGTTACATATAGTCACTTGTTACTTTGGATTCAGACATTTTAAGGATGTTCTCTGACCATCTCAGATTTATAAGCTCAAATTGGTCTTTGTTGTACGATTGATGGAATAAGGATACGCTCGCCTAGTCAGTTAGGATGCTCCATCTCTTCTCACATTACGAAAACCTCTTATGGCTCTCAATCGTGTATTAGCAAGATTTATTGAGCCCTATTTCCAAACTCTGGAAGTATGGATATCCTAGCTCTCTTAGTGGTTCAAGAAATCCAAGTTGAGCTTCCCAGTGCAAGTAATAGGTTACTCGGAACTCGTCCATCATATCGAGAATGCTCAAGTCTTACTATAAAGTATGAAGAACGCACAACTCCTTTTCTCATCCTTCTAATGAATCTTGCTAGCACGAAGAAAGGCTACTATCAGCCGTCCTCTCCTAAGATCAAAATATGAGATCTTAAAAAGTGTCTCACATAAGGTAAAGCGAATGTAATCTTCACTTACTAATGCAGATTAAGACATCGAGTCATTCCATTTAACCCACAGAACAATTGGGTCGACTATTCGTGTCTCTCAGCTGATATGTCAAGAGTAGTCTTGGGTTTACCCTATTATTAAATGAAATTTTCATCCTCTTGACTCATTACTTCTAACCAAACCCTTCACATCTCTTTTCGGGTATTTGAGTAGCTCCAAAGAACCAGACATCAATCTAAGCCATCTCTACCGAAAAACTTACCGGATGTTAGCTCAATGGGAGCACAGAGAATGATATAGACTCTTGGTTCTGGGTCCACACCACTTGCAAACACTCCCTCCACTATATCTTCACCGATTGGCATGCTCATCGAATTAGATCTGGCAAAATAGAAAATTGCACCACAGGAACTTGCATTCTTTCTATGCTGAAGACTCGCCTTGGAAGAAATGATAGGAACTTATATTTACTCACATCATTGTCTTCTGCCACCTCGCTTCAGGACGCCAAATCTCCTTCATCTTTTCTAAATCATGGAGCAGGAAAAGCAAACCCTTTACTCATTACCACAGACCAAACAACTGACATCTCTAACATACTATTGAAAATACCCAGCACATCCTAACAGCAAAATATCTGTACGTCAAATCTCCGACCTAAGCTTCCATATCGACACAAGCACTGTCCTCCCTCCTCGCTATGCCTTAGACATGCAGCAACCTTTCCATCCCCTCTAAAAAAAATAGTGAACAGAGTAGAATTATTCACAACCCATCACCACAACATCCCCCTTCCACCCCATCCGCAACTAACCTCCTAATTCCCATCACATTTCCCTTTCCCAACCTCAAGATCAATCACCACTTCCAAGATTTCACACAATCACAGTAGACAATTCAAATTCTTAATATCTTCAAAGTATATTTAAATTCTTTTGATTATCATAATCTGATTCTAGGCCTAATTTCCAAACACCCAACGCCCATTTCATTCCCTAGTCATTAACCATCCATCATCATAAATTACCCATTTATCCCCTGATATCAAGTCCTTTATTGATACAAATCCATATCTCCATCACTATCCCCTTCATATCTATAACCTCTGTTTCCTCCCCTCCTACCAAATGCTTCATTCGCATCCACTTCATCTATTTCCATATCATCTTCACTACTGACTTCCTCGCTACTACCCTGATGATTAGGTAAAACCTCAATTCTACCATCTTTCATTACAACTCTTGCGACCTCTCCATCCTTAATCGCTCCCCTCAACAATAATACCGCCATTCTATTCAATACCTCCTTCTCAATCAATCTTGCCAGAGGTCTAGCACCATACGCTGGACTATAACCTGCTGAACCAAGATAATCTCTCACCGCAGGAGAACAATCGATGCGAACATCTCTACTATTGTTCGACAGTCTCTTTTGAATTTCTCCAAGTCTAACATCGACAATCGAACGGATTTCTTTCTTACTAAGGCGGTTGAAGATAATCGTAGCATTGATACGATTCAAGAATTCCGGCAAGAAATAATCCTTCAGAGCTTGTTCGACCATCATACGAGTAGTAGGATCAATCTTTCCATTAGCAGCGTTAGGACGATCGAGGTATTCGGCTCCCAAGTTGGATGTCATGACAACTATACAGTTTCTAGCATCAATGACACGTCCTTGGCCATCGGTGATACGACCATCATCCATGAGCTGAAGAAGAACTGTAAGAATCTCCTTTGCTGCTTTTTCGATTTCGTCAAAGAGAAGGATAGAGAAGGGTTTGCGACGAAGGGCTTCGGTAAGTTGTCCTCCGGCATCATGTCCAACATATCCAGGTGGTGCACCAATCATACGACTAAGTGCATGACGTTCTTGATATTCGGACATATCGAGTCTGATCATAGCCTTCTCATCATCGAAGAGGAAGTCGGCAAGGGCTTTAGTAAGAAGTGTCTTACCAGTACCAGATGGACCACAGAACAGGAAACTTGGTGGCTGGTTTGGATTTGAAAGTCCTGCTCTTTGAAGTCGAATGGCATCTGAGACTGCTTTCACAGCTTCCGATTGGCCAACGACTACCTTGCCTAATGCCTTCTCCATGTTCAACAACTTATCCTTCTCAGTAGCCTTGAGTCTTTGAACAGGGATACCAGTCCATCGAGCAACAATCTCGTTGATTTGATCTGGACCAACAGTATCAGTGATCAGAGATCCACCGGAGTCAAGGTTAGAGGAAGAGCTAAGAGCCGCGTCAGCAGCCTTTTTCTCCTTCTCCAAAGTCTTGATGAATGCTACTTGTTCTGGAATAGCGTAGTATTGGAGATCAGCAGCCTTGCTAGTATCACCCAAACGAGTAGCTTCATCCATCTTAACCTTCAATTGATCAAGCTTGACTTTAGCCTCTTGGATGTCCTTGCCTCTCTTTCTCTCGCTTTCATACTTCTCACGCAGAGGTCTAAGTTCTTCCTCAACGTTACTAGCGTCTTGCCTAGCCTGAGCCAAGCGAGCTTTCGAAGCTTCATCCTTTTCACGAGACAAAGCATGAATTTCAATCTCGAGTTGTCGATGTCTTCGATCAAGGGAGTCGATAATTTCAGGTTGTGATTCTCGGGCAACTCGAACAGCTGCTGCTGCTTCATCAATAAGATCAACAGCAGAATCTGGGAGTCGTCTTTGGGTAAGGTATCTAGCAGCCAAAGTAGCCGCGGAAACGAGAGCACCATCTGCAATGGTGACTCCGTGATGAACTTCGTATTTCTCCTTTAATCCACGGAGAATGGAGATGGTATCGGGAATAGATGGTTCCTTAACCAAAACTTGTTGGAAACGACGTTCGAACGCTGCATCCTTTTCGATGTACTTTCGATATTCGTTGAGAGTGGTAGCACCGATACAGTGAAGTTGTCCACGTGCCAACATAGGTTTAAGCATGTTAGCAGCATCCATTCCACCTTCACCACTGGCGCCAGCACCCATGAGAAGATGCATTTCATCGACGAAAAGAACGATCATCTCCTTGGATTCTTCAATCTCCTTCAAGACACCCTTCATTCTCTCTTCGAATTCTCCTCTGTATTTACTTCCAGCAATAATCGATCCGACATCCAGAGAGAGAAGTTTGCAAGCAGCAAGATTATCCGGCACATCAGCATTGACAATTCGCTGAGCCAACCCCTCCACAACTGTCGTCTTTCCTACACCAGGTTCACCGATCAGTACTGGGTTGTTCTTCGTACGTCTCGACAAAATTCTAACGACTCGGCGAATTTCTTCTTCTCTGCCAATAACTGGATCAATCTTTCCCTCTCTAGCCATCGCCGTCATATCGATAGTGAATTTCTTCAAATTCTCATTATCCTCCTCTGCATCCGCCGTCTTAGAATCGACTCTTTTCGTTCCCCGAATCTGCGAAACTGCATCTTGCAGAAGCTTAGCATTCGGCATGTTGGCTTCCTTCAAACATGTTTGAACAGCTGTATCTTGAGTAACTGCGATGATCAAGTGATCCACCGCAATAAACGAATCCTTCTGTGTCTTCTGCAATTCCTTCGCCGCCCTCAAAACTTTATTGAAAGCAGGCGAAACGGCAACTTGGTCTGGTGGAGGATCCTGACTGGGTAGACGAACAACAGCGCGTTTAAGTGAACGATCGAGAGCTTGGGGATCCCCATGGGCTCGCTCAACTACTTGTCGGAATAGTGATTGAGAAGCATGGCCATGAGAGGCGTTCATAGTTTGCTGTTGGTCTTTCGATAGATCGGGTAAGGGATCCAGGAGGGCGAGTGCGAGATGGAGGGGGAGAAGTTGAGAGGATCCATGCTGTTCTGCGTTGGACATGGCATCTTCTATGGACTTCGTCGCCCGAGTGGTAAAGGACATGTCAGATGTAGACATGATTGCGGTATTGTGTTCAGTGCGTATATGTGTGTTTTCGTTGTTGTATGGTTTCAAACGTAAGTAATATAAGTTCTGTAGGTATTATTATGCTGCGGGGTTTAGTACCGAGCTTCAGCGTAAAAGAGTATTTCTATGTAAAGCAAATGAAATATTTCAATGAGTGATTCGAATTGAATGTGACTTTATTTCTTGATGATGAGAAAAGAAATCTCTCGAGTACAAAGAAGACACTCATTTATATAGGAAGCTTCAAAGATGAGACCCATACGATGACCTATTCCATAGTAAATACTTGATATATCTCGAAATTACTCGCACCATCCTATGAGCTTCTAGGATCACCTCGTAGCTTCTAGAAACGTCAACATCAAACCACACGTTTTTTGACCCCACACACCAAAAAAGTTGGCTCGCTTGCATCCGCCTGGTTTCCGCCCGGGCACCAACAAAAAGTTTGTTTGTAGTGGCCTGATTTTGGAGCCCAATATTACATAATTTTATCAGGCAACAACTTATCCATGGAGCCAAAGACGCTAGGACAATTTTGGTTTTCAAGATATCGAAATTATTATTGTCGCCCGCATTTCAGTCAATCAATTCACATTCTTGATAGTCATGAGTGTCCCATCACTTCGGAATTGCATCGGCAATTCGGTCAGTAAGACAGCGGGTGTCAGATATGCATCAACGAAGTCGGTGACTGCGAGACAACCACCCAATCGTCCGGAACATGGAGAGCAGATATATGTCTATAATCACTTACGGACGAATCAAGTCGTCTACTCACTTACCAGGGGAATGGATGTATGTATTACCTCTCTGTCTTTCAATTGCTCTCTGCCAATATACTCAATGCCCCAAATCCTCCCATACTTGCCCCGCCCCCGCCCTCTCCACCCAACCCTCACTAACCCCTCACCAGAACACCTCTTCCCTCCACCAACTCCCCTACAATGGCAAAAAGACCCGCCCTGCCGCCCTCCGCAAAGACCACTGGCACCCCATGGCCCTAATAACCTTCCCACCCGGCTGTTCCTCCTCCGGCCTCAGCGCCTTCCAAAAACTCCGCGAATATCGCAAACGGCACGAACACTCCTGGGACCCCTCCTCCCCCCTCTTCAAACGCGAGCCCCAACCAGGCGAATCCGACTACCAAAAATCCAAAATCCATCTCACCTCCAAACTGCGCTCCCGCAAAATAAACGACCAAAAAGCTAACACCGTCGCCGACATGGCCGCTGTTCTCAAAGATATCAGATACGGAAGCGAAAGAATAGGTCTCGAAGGCATTGGAAAGGAAGGCGTCGTAGAAGTGAAGTGGAGCGATCTCGCAGACGCAAGTTACGCAGGCGAAGGATCCGATATCTGGGGCGAAGCTGTTCTTCACGATACTCTACCCTGGGATCGCAATAACCGGGACATCCTCAAAAGACAAGCGTTAAGCACCGAAAAGCAAGCGGAATGGAAAGCCCAGCGCGCAGCAACAAAGGAAGCCAACGAAGAAAAGAAGAGGAAAAACAGAGAAGAGAATGAACGAATCATGAAAGCGAGAGAAGAGAGATGGGCAAAACACATAGCGCTCATGGAGAAACACCGCGCAATGGGCAAGGGTCCCAAGGTCCTCCCCCAAAGAATCAGACAATCCCCCGCCGACAATTGGGCGCAGGAGAGACAGGCGCAGCTGGAAAAGTTAGCATGGATGGAAAGGACGGGCGGCTCGGCGCAGGAATATGAATTCTCGCGCGAGCAAGCTGGTGCGGTGGATGCGGTTGAGACGCAGGAATTAGAGCTCGAATCTGCAGCTGGAGCGGGAGCGGGAGCTCAACCGTTGGGTTTGGGAAATGAAAAGAATGCAGAGACAGAGACTCCTGCGACTAAAATTCTTTAGGAGGAGAATTTATGTGTTTGGGATGCAGAGGTAGATGTAGATGTAGATATATATTGTAAAATCACATAGTATCACACCCGTATCGCATCGCATTGTATATCTTCTTGTCCCAACGTATGCATATATGTAGCTATCTACACCTATGTGTATACAAACCCCACAATACGAAATGGACATACCTACCTACCCAAGGTACTCACGACAGAAAAAAGATGACATGACACACTACGTCTATTGTTCCAATACTACCTACCTAGATATCGTATTCATTCATTCATTCATTCATTCTCCATCTCCATCTCCATCTCCTTCGCATACCAATCCCCATACTCATCCTCACATCCAAGAAAAGTAAACCAAAACCAAACTGTGAAATATGGAAAATGATGTATATGGGTACATACATAAATATACATCACACAAGCGAAACCTCTCCTTTCTCCTGTCTTTCTCCCTTGTCGTCTCATATTTCATTCTCATATTCTCGATTCTATATCAAAGCACACACACACACACACACAAACACACAAACACATATATATTCGTATACAAAATCTAAAAAATCTCATAGCCACCAGCCCACCCCATCCCATCCCGCTCTTCGCCTATTGTTCCGTTTTTCCATTCGCCTTTCTAGCCGCGAGAATACATCTTTCCCCTCGCCCTCCCAAAAGAGGGAATTCCCTAAACCTTAACCGCAAAACTTTTCAAATATTCATAATCCTCAATGTTCGCATCCACCGTTTCTCTAATAATTTTCGCCGCGTCTGCGCCGTATTTCTCGGTCCATTCTTCATTTTCTTGGGTTACGGTTTTGGCTTTCTTTTTCTAATTTCAATGTGTTAGTATTTGCGTTTGTATTTTGAATCGATTAAACCCCCCCCCCCAAAAGGGAAGAGTAAAAAGGTTTAGAAAAACAAAACTTACATGTTCTCTGGCCTTCAAACTCGAAGAATTAATCGCATCATCATGAAAGCCCCTCCATTTCTCAAACGCCTCTCGCGCTTTCTCATGATGCTCCTCGGTATCCCAAATCAACATATTGGCATTATATTCCAATCCCACCTCTCGACAATAAGCTTTGATGATGCCCTCTGGATTATCCAACAAATCATCTGCGTCGATAACCGTAATACTCACTTCCTCATCTTTCAGATTCTCGGCCTCGGACTCGGGGGTTCCGGCGACGGGAGGACCGACTTGGTTATTGGAGCGCAGGAAATCGAAGACGCGACGAAGTTCGTCGTAGCCAGCTTCTTCGGGCATGAAGTTGTAGAAGCCGGTGACTTTGTCTAGGGGAGGAATGGTGCAGCGGAAGTAGGAGGGAATACTCGAGCGGGGATGGCGGATGAGGAAGGTGAAGTGGAATTGTTTGAGGATTTCAGCGGGTACGACCGTGGGGTTTCCGGGCTCGGCAACGGTGTTGTATGGATATGGGACTTTGGCGGCGGTGCCATTAGTGTGTCCATTAGTGTGTCCATTGGTGTGTCCATTGGTATGGCCATTGGTGTGGCCGTTGACCCCATTGGTTTCCCCGTTTGACACCCCATTTACCCCATTTGTTTCGCCATTGGTGCCGACACCCTTCTTGACACTTTTACCTCCGAGCGAGGGAGCAATTGATGCAGGTTTGCCTTGAGGAGGTACAAGGTAGTGAATGATGTCTTTGATGAATAGTCGTTTTCCCTGTTGTGGTGTAAGTTGCTGATTCATTAGAATAAAAATACATGCTGGTATGGATTTAAATTGGGGCGCATAAAAGGTGCACCTTCCATGAGAAAGTTCAGAGCGTCAAAGAGAACGTGGATTACAAAGGACAAGACTGGAGCTCTGATGTTTTTATCGTAGAGAAGATCTGGGCATCGAATAGTAAAAATGGAGTCCATAGTGTCAGACACTTGTCTTATACCCAAACCAATCTCGAGAGCTCCAGAAAACCTGCAGGACCAATGCCATCTAAAGGAAAGACTGGGATAACAGTAGAAGCGGATTTAATTCTAACCTCTTTGCCTTCTTGCTCAATTCTCTCGAAAATTGTCTTATATGTGCTATCTGCGAAACCACTCTCCTTGCGCGCGGCTTCATCATCTTCATATCTCGGGCTGAGTCTCTCGGGACCAAAGTAGAATGCATCTCCAAAGGGTTCGTGAACACAGGCAAGGACATCATCGCGAGTCATAAAGACCTAAACAAACATCAGTCAATTGGCCAAGAGAGCTGCGGAATCAATTGGGACTCACTCTCTCGAATGCGGTAGAGCAAGCTCTGGGGTGGGTAGCGCAGAAGATTGGTTTCATGGAAGTCATCTTGCTGGTTATGTTTTAAGTCAAATCTATCAATTGAAGTTGTAAATGATGATAACAGGATCCAAACACCAGACAAACTAATACAAGCAATCTGTATCTCAAGTAGAGCTGTGTGAAGTTGTCAACGGTTTCCTTTGTTGTTCGTTTCCAGAACAATTCAAGATAGGGAATTCAGGTACAATCTAAGATTTTACAAATCTTGCAACTCGATTGGATGGAAAATAATAAATGCTAGATGAAAAGAGGACTGGAAAGAAGATAGATTCTTTTAAGTTTAAATAGTAGTAGCGATCATATGAGAGTGTAAAGTTACTACCAAGGTATATTTCCTGCTAACCCATCATACTATACTATGTAGAGCGTGGGTAGTGAAGTAAGAATCCCCGAGGGCAAATCTGACAGACCAATTGATGAGAATGAAAATGAGCATGTGTGTAAGAGATTTACACTTATTGTGGTTTTCTGACAGCCAGACCCAAATAAAAGAAGGATTGCATTGAATGGATCTCTTCTCACTTACTGTATTGTATGTACATTGTACATCTTTTCTGTCTTTCTTTCTTTCTTCCTCTCTTCCTTACCTGACCAAGACGAAAAGCAAAAACGATAATCCATGAACCTCCTTGTCTCATATCATGGATGTGAAGGAGATGAAGCCGATGAAGCCAATGAAGCCAATGGTATATGACATTTGAGTGGTTCTGAAGCTTTGCTATTCGTAAACGTTGATGCAATTGACGAAAGAAGGGTACCAGAGTACGGAGTACGGTTAAGGTATGACGCACTCAAATGCGGCCATGCCCCTCCTTCCAACTTTGAAATTTTTCCAATTTCCAATTTTTGCCCCTCATTCGCTTTTTATGCGGGCACTAGGGAGAATCTAGAAATTCTGGGCTCATGATACCTGCGTTGTGGCTTGTGGCTTGATTTGTCGTGGGGGGATGGCGTGGAATGGCGTTGCACGATGAGGATTTGATGGTTGGAAAAAAAAAGGAAAATCTATTTGTATCTTGGAATGTGATGAATGATGTGAGCATGGCGACCTACCTAGTCCTTCCTACCTGGCTGGGTACCTGGTTAATAAGTACTCATCTATTAGATTGATAAGGATTTGGAGTTGGGCCAAAAGAGTGACATGATCACAAGAAATGACCCCTTGATGCAAGTCATCTGAAAGCGCCGTATTACTGTAACAAGGATGCCTGGGTCGAGTCGGCCTTCCAAGAGCAAAACAGGACACCACGGATGTGGTGAACGGCACATGAGATGCACAGAGAGAGTGCAAACATAAAACCAAAACAAAACATAACGAAAACATATCTCCAGCCTTATACCTAGATGCATCTCCAAGTAGAAGCGAGAAGAGATATACAGATACATACAGATACATACAGATCCGAGAATGATGGTAAGGACTGCCACGGTGGCTCGGGTGGGATTGATCAATCTCAGCAAAAGAAAGAAGAAAAAAAAGAATGTGATAAATGGGCAAATGTAACTGTGAGCATCTCTTGATCCGAATGGTTACGATTTTGATCCAGACTACCTACCTAGACTACCTACCTAGACTCCCTACCTAGGTATCTGGATCAAGTAAAGTCACCTGCCAAATGCAAGTGTGCAGAATAGGTAGCAAGCTCCACATTCACAAAATAGCCCACACACCAAAATGGATTTCCCAGTGTCTAGTATAGCCATGGATATTTGGACATCTAAATTGCAGTGGAATGTGGAAAGTATGATTGTTACATTCGAATAATACCTGATCTGATACGTGATACGTGATACGTGATACCTGATACCTAAGACCTAAGACTTAAGACCTAATACCTAATACCTAATACCTAATACCTAATACCCAATACCTAATTAAATTTGGAGGGACACATGGACTACCTGCTTACCGAGCTCCTAGGTACTCATCTGAAATTCTCATTACTTGTTGTGCAACCGATTGTGCAACTTATCTCGTCCATTATATCGTCCATCGCGTGCGAATAAGTACAATTAACCTGAGGGAATAATTTGAGTCATTCAACGTATTCACCCTCGCTAGCTTCCGCCTTGCCAAGACTGTGGAATTGCTATCACTGCCATTTCTCCTCGGACCCCTCATCAGATAATACGGAGTAACTGGAACATCCCTGAACTCACAAGGCTGGGAAAGCTAGGGAGGGAGATACGCAGTCGACACAGTACACGGCCACACGTACGAATGACAAGATTATAAATACCATAAATATCATAAATACCATACATGCCATAATCCCGCAAAGGATTCACCATCTCTCTCTCGCCCTCCCGTCACTTTTACATGACACTCTACCCCCTCAAGCCTCGCATCTGTCGGTTCCGACTTTCCGACTTTCCGACTTTCATCATTTGACTCCTAACAAGTATGCGGTATAGTCCGGTGACGGTGTAACCCAACTTGGGTTAATCGAGCGAATACGGAATTCATCCCTTCATGATCCTTGCCCATGATTACTCAATGGTTAGTGATCCCGCTCGGCGGCGGACCTCTTATCGAATGATCCCAAGTGGCTTGGCAATGATGTTCTGGCGTTTTCTTAAATCTTTCCATTTCGCCCCACTCTTCTGCACCTTTAAGCTTTTCCCGCCTTCACATATTGAGAAAGATTGAGTGTCGATCATGAACTCTTACTGCATTTGCTTCGTACTTACCGTACAGAATAGATTATTTTATTGAATTATTATCACATCAATCCATCAATCCATCAAGCAATCAAGCAAGCAAGCAAGCAAGCAATCAATCAGTGACTAGGTAGATGAATGAATCAAGTTCTCTCAATAATGAACTTCAATTGGAGGACTCGAAGAGCAAAGGGGGGAAATGCCTACCTACCTACCTACCAACCTACCTACCTACCTACCAACCGACCTACCCACCGACCTTGGTAAAGTTGTAACCTACAAAGGTAATAACTTTTAATCACTTCCTCGTTCGCTTCTCCTTCTTTCTTTTTCCACCTTCACTTCTCCATTTCTCCATCATACCTACCTTCACTCACTTCACTGGTCCCTACTACCATTTGCAGGACCCAATTATTTCAATATTTCCAATCCATTTCAATGCCCAAAAAAAAAAAAAGACCCAAAAGAGAGAAAAGCTCGGGATACCCAATTAATCAATTAATTCAATCCAATCCCATCCCATCTTTTTATGTCCGCAAGATCCGCCTTGCTTGCTTGCTTGCTTGCTTGCATATTTGGGTGAAATCATCCTTCGTTTTATTAGTCGTTATCTCATTACAGTAACGGTTTAACCATGGCACAATGGCAATTACTCCATCCATCCATTCTTTTCATTACGTCCGCATACCTTTTCCTTATATGTATGCAATAATAACAGGAAGAGGAAGAAGAAAGATCCCTTTTTTCCCCCAATGGTATGGTATTATTCAGCATGCTGGGCACTTCATGCAATTTATGCATAATAGAATTCCATCGAGTCACTAGAAGAAACGATCGACCTCGCAACTCTCTCTTGATTACTTTCTTACTTTCATACCTACCTCGTCTACATCCATACTACTCACATCCATACATCCATACATATATCCATACGTTGTCATACCTCCCAAGACCTCAATATCTGCATCTTTTGCGCTGCCAAGCGGAACATTGCTTGTCAATTGCTACTACCTTGCCTTACCCTTTCCCTATTGACTCTTCTGCTTCAGCCCAGTTTTTCCTTATATCCGAGGGCGTCAACGTCAAGACTACTCAAGAAGAATAAGAGGGGTCAATTGCCCGAGTTCCTTACCAGTACCTCATTCGGCCAGTCCGATTTGTGATTCCATTAATCGTAGCAGAATAATAGAAAGTTACAATTGATCCATCTTTTCCTTTCTCACTTTGAGAGATAGCGACTCAAGAAGTCTTTTTCGATTTTCTTTCTTTTAATTTTCAAAGATGTCAGGCACATCAACCGACAAACAGCCGCAATCGCAACCAGTTCAAGCTCAACCAAGTCAAGAAACCCCTCTCAGTCCGAATCAATCATCGCCCGACCTTGAGCCAGCAGAGGATTGGCCTGCGCCGTCATCGCAACCACGTCCCGCGCCCTTGCAAAAGAGGAGACGAGTTACAAGGGCTTGTGATGAATGTAGGAGGAAGAAAATAAAGTGTGATGGAAAGCAACCTTGTACTCATTGCACTGTATATAGTTATGGTATGATACTGTTTGTGATTTGCGTATTTTTACATCCGTCGTTGACCAATGTGCCATAACAGATTGTACATATGATCAGCCCTCAAATAGAAGAAGGAACCCAGCGCCGCAGTATGTCGAATCGTTGGAGCTTCGTCTACAGCGAGCAGAAAGCATCATTAAAGCTTATCTCCCAAACATAAATCTGAACGATCCAAACATAGATGCTGCATCATTACTACACCGACAGGTTGCGCCAACAACCCCTTCGACCACGAGCTCCATGCCAAGCGCGACCCCACAACAGCCACAGCTATCAGAAGAAGATGCGCAGTTGCGATCAATGATAGAATCTACAGGGCAACTCGATCTTGACGAACGTGGAAACTGGGACTTTCATGGTGGTTCCTCAGGAACTGTCTTCATTAGGCGTCTACGTGAACAATTTGGTAGTTTACTCGGATCTCCCAACTTGCTTCCCAAACCACCACGTGCGCAAATGCCACCCACTTTCGATTCCCCAAGATCATCTACTGATTCCCCTTATGATTCTGGTCTTCCCAACACAATGGATCTGCCTCCGCGAGAAGTGGCCATGTCTTTATGTGAAGATTCGTTGCATTGCGCTTGTTGTCTCTTACGTTTCGTTCATGAACCCAGTTTTTATGAAATGTTGAATAGGGTATACGATCTACCACCTGACAGTTTTGGTGATGAAGAGCATAAATTTCTGCCGTTATTATATATGGCTTTAGCTTTGGGTTGCATGTTCTCGTCACGGCCCTCTAATTCCACGGACCCGGATGGAAAGAAGTATAAAAGTAGTATGGATCAAGGGTGAGTGCAGTCTTTAGCGACAGTTTGCGTATAGCTCCGTAGCTTTGTCTTACCCGAACTTCATGGATGAGTACAGGCTTAGATCTTGTGCTACTTCGTCTCCAATCTATTGCAAGACTAACATCTCATTAGGTTCAAATTTTACAAAGCTGCTCGGCAAATGATGGATCTGACTGATTGTCGCGACATGACGTCTTTGCAAACAATTATATTCATGATCCTGTTCTTACAAGCAACCTCAAACTTGAGCATATGCTATTCTTACATAGGTCTTGCCCTGAGATCTGCGTTGCGCATAGGCTTACACCGTAGCCTCAGTGGCAATTTTAATCCGATTGAGCGGGAAACTAGAAAGCGAGTATTCTGGATAATACGAAAGCTTGATACCTATGTTTCTGCTATTCTGGGATTTCCTATAATGTTAAGTAGCGACGACATTGACCAAGATATGCCAATTGAGGTAGATGATGAGTACATAACTAAAGACGCCATCCTTCCTATGCCTCCTGGCAAGATGTCATTGTTCGTGGCTTCAAATGCTCATACTCGACTTATGGGCATCACAACAAAGGTTATCAAACATATCTATCCGATAAAAGGCTTGGAGCAATCTATCTCAGGAAACAGCAAGGCATCATATACCATTAGTCACTCAAAAATCCGGGAGATTGAAAAGGATCTAGCAGATTGGCTGGACATGTTGCCTATGGGACTACGTCCTGGAGGTGACGGTCCACCCGAATTAATACGGTGAGTCAAGGATACTATACTTTGGTATAGGATACGAGATTTACTTCAATGGTCCAGATCTTGGAGTGATGATGAACATTTACTAATGGCAATATAGTATACAACAACTTTTACGACTAGCATACGCGCACGTTCAAATGATGTTATATCGACCCTTTCTTCATTATGTCTCTGGAAAAGGTTGTGCTGGGAAAACCATTGATGAGCGATCATATGCATGTGCAGCTGCTGGTGTCAGTGTAGCCCGCAATATCATTCATATCACTGCGGAAATGAAGAAGCAAGGTCTATTGGTAGGGGCGTATTGGTTTACCATGTACACAACCTTCTTCTCTGTCATATCCTTGGTATACTACGTTCTTGAGAATCCCGATAAGAGTGGAGCCGCAGAGATTTTGGCAGACGCAAATGATGGAAAGGATGCTCTAATCGGTCTCGCTCAAAGAAGTATGGCCGCTGATAGATGTTCCGAAACTCTCAAGGTTAGTGCCCCATTCCACAATGTAATATTTATCTAATCCAAATTAGCCACTGTTTGAACAGTTACCAGAGAAGTTAAAAAATCGTTCCGTTTCGGCTCCATCGAAGAAGAAGAGATCAGCACCGTCATCCACCCAACCGACGCATCACAGCAGTCCCGAGATTCCAAGACCAAACTCAAGTCACTTCACTCCAATACCTCGCGCGACGACATTCCCCCAAACCCCCACCTCTCTCCAAACCAGCGGTCTCCCAATGCAAAATTTAAACAACCGCTTCCACATGAACACAGCATCCAATCCAAATCTTCGACAGGGGTTTCAAGATCTCGTATCGCCGAGTGATTTGTCCACTGCTGGCACTCCTGAAAGCACAGCTTCGACTAGTCATAGCATTCCACAATATGGTGTACAAAATCAATTCAATGCCAACAACAGTATACCATATCTCACAGGATTGATGTTCCCATCTACAGATCCTTTTGCGTATCCGAATCAACCGATGATGGAATTTGATGCGCAAATTATGAAGCAGGAGAATGATATAGATAATACAAGAGCGCAGCAAATGTACATGGGTGGTGGTGGTGGAGCAGGGACTGGAAATGGAATGTTCGATGATTTGGAGGGTCAACTTTTCGGGCCGTTGCCACCTTATATGATGCAGGCCCAACACGGTTTCGATATGTCTGGGACGGGACCTGGAGGTGGAAACGGAGGAGGGGGCGGAGGGGGCATGAGTGGGATTATGCACGGGACAAACGCGAATACAAACACTAGTGGAGCTGGGGGTACAGGATTTAATCCTCAGAATTTGGTGTATAACACTGGGATGAATTTGGACGGAATTTTCGATAATGTGGGGGGTGATGCGCGGGGAACAGGGAGTGAGTGGGGTGGAATGGGAGGCCAAGGGTTTAGGTGAGAAGGGATTTGGATGGACTTCATCGAATGAGGACATTGTTACATTCTACCAAGTTGATGGAAATCAACAGACTGCTTCATCTTCAGCGAAGAGTTTCAGTATTGCATGGCATGGATCGGCACAGACGAATTAAACGCGGAATGGGACTATGGAGGCCAAATTTTCTTTGAAAGAAAGGGCTGAGAAAGCGCAAGCGATCGTGATATGGTTCAAGATTTCTTACTTTCTCTGTCGAATGGTCGAAATTTATCAAGTGGTATATGTATGGTTTCAAAAATCCGAATTGGTAATGTGTAAATGATGCATTGTATTATACCTTGGGCGTCTGATTTTGATGGTGGTGGGAGATAGGGTAGGATAGGGGGGAGGGGCAAACACATAGGATGGGATGACATGGAATGGCACGGAATAAGATAGGATCAGCGTTATGGATATGGTTATGGATATGGTTTATGGATAGAGATATTAGGTGTTTTACAGAGGATATGGAGTTTGATTTTGTGATTGATTTTGATTTTGAATTTATTATGTGGGAATGAAATGGATCGGAAGGTTTAGAATTTGTATGGAATTTATGGAATTAAAATGAAGTGTATGGAATTTTATTCGGATGATGTTTATTTGTTCTCTTTCCCGCTTCTCTTCCCTTTGCCCTTTTTCCTTCTTTTTCTCTTCCCTTCTTCGTTTCCCTTCCGGCCCCTCTCCTTCTCGAAATCTCAATCCAATCCAATCCAATCCAATCCAGTCTAATCTACATAGTCTACTACCTAGTAAGTAAGTAGAAAGTAAGTAAGTAGAAAATAAGTAGCAAGTTAATTACTGAGATCTTTCTATATATATACACACACACGCTATACATCTAAATTCCTTTCTAAATTCCTATCTAAATTTCTATCTAAATTCCCATCTAAATTTCTATCTAGATACCTATTTATCTATTTATCTATTTATCCTTATATATATATATATATATTATTCTATTCTATTTAATTATATTGCATCACATTACATTACAAGTAGTACAAAATATTACAAAATACCACAAAACATATACACATACATACACATACATCACACTATCCAAACTCACAAATCAATCAAACACTCTCGCGTCTCAAATATCTCATATTAGAGAAATTCAATCTAACTAGACACCTAACAATGAGTCGGTGTCATACGATATCATATTATGCATACCCCAAGCAACCTAGCCAAGCGAATTTTCTAGCCATAGCCAAAGCAATAAGTGCACCATCATGCCATGTGCCAAAATTCCAACCTGATGTTAATGCCAATGTCGAAGCCAATGCCATTGTCTTCCATCCTCCTTTTGCAAGCAATCATGCAAGCTCCCTCGCTGCAATATTAAGTTTATCTTCCTTTCAACCATTTTCCTTCTGTCTTTCTTCTCCTCTTCGTCTCTTTTTCCGTATCCCATATGTTATTCCCCCCTTCGCCCTTCCTCTTCCCCCAACAAGAACTTCTCGTCTTCATAGTACATTTAATCTGACAGTATAACTAGTACAGTACGCTTAAAACACAAATTTATAACAACAGTGAGATAAGCAAAACAACACGCTAAAGTGCAACGCAATCATCTGAAAAAGAAAACCACCTCCATCTCACCGCTCATCAGCCTAAGTTGCCCAGCTAGTAGTACAGCAATAATTGAAACCTCCATGACAAAGGAAAATCACAACACGAGCAAACAATGTCAAACATCATCCGCTTGCCATCTCGATGTTTTCAGGTGATCAATCAATCAATCCTCAAAGTATAGGGACTACCACTCCTCACACTACCCTCATCATCAAGATCAACACTTTTGTGTGATCTCGGCGTCCTTGGTCGTCCCGAGGATCCATTGTGCTGGATGATAGAGAAATCCCTGATACTTCCCGCACTACTCTCTGCTTTGCTCGTAAATGGTATAGTTCTTCCAAATCTTGGATCCACAGATGGGGCGAGTCTATATCTCTTGCTGTTATGTTGTGAAGCTTCATCGTCAACGATAACGATCATCCATACACCAATTGAACCATTAGAGCCCATGAGTGGTGTACAATGAATCCATCGTGGTCGACCATCGATATCATCCTTTGTTACCCAACGTACTTTAGCAGTAACACCTCGTCCATCAGCTAGAGCTTGAGTCAACTCCTCACGAACACGATTGCTACCACCTATCTTCGCCATGAAAGGCGATTGCAAGATGCCAGGCACTCTAAGTGTCGGACTTGCAAACAAAACTCTTAAACTTGGGTATGGACGAACAAGAAGATAATTCTCATATATGCCACCAAGTTTGCCACTAATACGTCCAAGCTGTGGATTTGAATTCTCGGGACTCGTACTCTTAATATGTAATCTCGGTTTATGCCAATTTCCTTTTTGTAAATTGCTGTCAGGGTGATCCTCCTCGGTTTCTTTGTGCATTCTTCCTCCCCACTTGCGTACTGTGTCCAGCTCTTGCATGTTTAACATCTCGCTTAATTCTTGGAACTCGTCTTTTGGTGGTGGTGGTGCTGGGTAATCTTCCAGTTCCGCGTCGGGATTTGCTGCTCGTTCTGCTTCACGCTCCTGGGCAAGCTCATCTGCCGCAACAAGACGTTGAAGAGATTCTAATTCTGAGCATTCTTTGACCAAACCAGAAATATCGACCTGTGCACCAATGAAATATCGAATCGTGCCTCTGCTATCGCACAGTGGGGCACACATTAGAAGATTCATAAATGGAGATCCATCTCGTCGACTGTCATCTAATTAGCCATCATCTCCAAGCGTGTTCAAACCAAACTTACTAATTCAGGAAAGTCTCGCAATGTTCTTGACCGGCTTCAATCTTCTCTCGAATTCTCCTCACACTGAAGGGGTTTGTTTTCGGTCCTTGCAAGAATCTACAATTTCTGCCAAGAACATAGCTCATACCATACTGTGTGGTTCGATGGAATTCTGGAGTAGGGTTAGCCAAAGTCTACCATCTAGTTCATTACAACATACCCTCAGAAGCAAAAACAATAGGGTTATCCGGACGAGAAGGATCGGTCAAACAAAAGACCTCAGCTAAGCCCTCAGATGCCTCTCTCAGATGCGCTGGTAAAGTTCCAGTAATTCGTCTCTGGATCGATATACTAACGGTCTGTATATATGCCCATGTGATGTAAGCAGGGAGATCCTCTCGAACCAAAACATCGAAAGCCTTTGTAGCCTTTTCTTCTAATGCAGCGCTCATTGTCTTGGAGGCTGCAGTGGCGGTAAAATCAAAACCAGGAATTGGTTCCAGAGCTTCCGCAATCGCATTTGAATATGAAATAGCCTTGAGTGCTTTGACAGCATCTAGGTAATATATGAGTATAGGAATTGAAGAAGGTCTATGTGCGCCTAGAAAAGAAGTGAATCTCAAAAGTAGTGAAGGGTCACTGAAGATTATTCGTAAATGCTCTGTCGAAAAGAGTTGTTCTGATCTTGTCTCAAGAGAATATCGTTTACCTCCAGTCTCAGTTGCCGCCACAAGATCAAAAGATCCAGGATCAATATCTTCTTCATTCAATGGTTCCAACACTTCTCCCTCTTCTAGAACTCCTGTCTTTTGCAGTGCGGGTAGAGATGTCGCATTTGTTTGATATGACGACACGGAACCGCCTCGCGAACGCGAACGCGAACGCATTGTCGAAGGCGAGGATGTTGATTGTGGCGAATAGAGTATACTTGGCTTTGAATCTCTAGGTTCTACGCGCTCCTCTCTCTCTGGAATATCAAGGTGTTCTTGTAGATGTTCTCCAGACTCACGGTGTTCTTCGTTGTAAAGACTACTACTAGGATGCGTCAACTGACTTTGTCAAAGCAGTAGGTCAATATTTAAAACTCACCTTGACCGCAGAGGAATATCAACTTGAGCTTGTAGAATCTTTGCCGACTTGCTGGGTGCGGGTGATGCAGTTCCCCTTCTTGGAGTGCTAGGATCAAACGTTCTCTCTAATGAATGTCTTCTCGACCGACTTGCTTGTGATGGTCCTGCCAAATGAGGCCCTCCCAAACCTGGTCTATAGGGTTTGTAAAATGGTATGTCATTCACTTCTGCACCGCCTTCTTCTTCTCCTGCACTTGCTTCGTCGATTTTGGTGGGGAGCTTAAAGCCGGGATTTTTTCCATAAGTAAGTGTTCCTGTACGACGATCCGCTAAATTTTGAATGTTCATTTCTGCAGGCGCGGTAGATGTTGATTGATTAGGGTGAGGAAACTAGTTGCGGCAAGAGTGATGTCAGTTCAGCCATACAATAATATCTCGTCTCGTCTTTTTCACAAATCTCAATGGAACATCAATGACTGAACGATAATGCGCTGAATGACAAGAAATAAATACAAATGAAATTAAGTGACGCTTTGAAGCAGTTCTCTTTTCCACAATTCATAAGAATCCATCAAGTGAAGAATTAATTCTCCGATGAAAATCAATAGTATAGAATGAGTGAAATTGCGGGATGGGTAAATCAAGTCTTGGTAAATGATGGAGAAAATAAGTGATGATCATCGACATACATGGGATGTATCCTGAAGGCTGTTCCTTCTCTTCTGCTTCAAGTGTTTCCACATCGATGCAACTAGCAAAGAAGATGTCCTCCAAATTGTGCTTGATGGAGATATGTATGTACCTATGTATCTATCCCAATGGTAGAAATGAAAAAGATATGCAAAGTTGGAATTCCACCGAGAGAGAGAAAAAGACAGAAGGATTGCACAGACAGATGTGAGTAGCTTTATGACATACCAGATAGAGAATTGGAGGAGACCTTAGACGAGGGGTGCTTCCATTTCTATTTCCATTGCCAAATCCATTGCCAAATCCATTCCCGTTCCCACCAATTACAGAACTACTCCGTTCAACACCTATAATAGTCCGCACACCAGGGCCGTACGCACGACCTTTTCTTTGGAGGGGTTGTTGTGAATGTGATTGATCTCCAAATCCTGTTGATTTCGTCGACATGACGAATCCTTGGAGTATCGGGAGTCTAGGATTATTTTCTTGGGCGAAATTGAGAAATTGACGAATCAAGAGAGGGAAACTGGTATCATCCCTGTGGCGATGGAAATAGTTTAAAAAGTGGAAAGTGGAAAGTGGGAAGTGGTAAGTGGGAAAAAGATTAAAAATTAAGAAAAAGGTTTAATTCCCCAATCCGAGGGAGTGTCCGACGACGGTATCATTCCATTAATATAATGTGACCCTGGGTGGAGTTGCTTTTTTGTGTGAAATGTCGATATCCTTAAGGTTCGTAAAAAGGAATTAATGGTATGATTTCTTATTGGTTCAATTGGTATTTGAGGTGTAAATCTGTGCAAGATATACCAAAGTAGGGAGGGAGGTGTGTAGGGAGGTTGTTGTGGCGTCCCTATCTATCTCTATCTCTTCCTAACTTCCTACCCAGATGGTAAACTTAGTAATCTGGGGCTGAAGAGCAGAGAAGCTACCATGACCATGAATGAATGTCATTGGCCCATCAATTTCCTCATTCGATCAAGTACAAAAGTACGACTGTACGAGGAACCGGCAAGAGAGAGAGAAGACGTGAATCGTGATCCGAAGACCAGGTGAGGTAGGAAGGTACTAGGAAGGAATTGTAATTGGCGCTCACTGCTCAGACTACGTATTAGTTCTAGTCGCATTCGGTGGCTGTTGAGTCTTGAGTCTCGAGTCTCGAGTCTCGAGTCTCGAGTCTCGCGTCTTGACTATTGACTATTGATCTTAGCGGGATATCCCAATAAATGTATTTGACAGATTTGGCGACGACGGTTTAGATTCCCAGACTTCAGACGAAAAACGCGTCCTGGCCTTACGGAAGAAGCTGGAAGTGTTCATCCAATGTTTCTTCTCCAAAAGGGAAAAGAAAAGAAAAGCACATTCTTAAGAGAAGGCATGGTACTGCACATGGTATTGTAGACTGCATTGTACATTGCATTGTTACATTGCATTGCACATGGTAATATCGGACAAAAAGAAAGACTTTTTCGTAAAACTTATCTTGTTGAAACCAATTGACAGCAGGGCATATACCTCTCACCAAGCAATTACCAAGTCATGGACAAAAGGAATACCGTCGCTTTGATTAACCAATCTCCTCAATGGGTGATACTTCAAAAAGACATCTTATCCAATGGTATGGACTTTCCACTCTTTGCCTCTCAAGCCCTCTGATATATATCTACAACGACAACGACAACAACAACAACCAAACAGATGTAGGTGCAATGTAGGTGCAATGTAGGTATGCAATGTAAGTGCATTGTTACTAGTAAACGTTGGAGCTCTTGTAACACGCGTACATGCACACAGTGCACAGCACCTAGTATACAACATCACATATAGTATATACACCAAAATTGAGACAACATCAACGGTGTAACGGTCATTGTGACAGTGACAAGGGAAACACAAGCTCGAGACCAGGTACCTGATCATCTCTTTATCCGTGACGAAAATATCATCGACATGCTTTGGATCATCTTATCTTATTCTCCTCGAGACAGCATTATCGGTGAATTGTTCGTACTGTTTGTACTGTTTCGGGTACGAGGTACATCAACGCCATATTACATTACTACTATGTAGGTACTCAGTGGTCTGGCCCTTTGATCCATCGTGTACCTGATCTCGAGCTGATCTGATGCATCAGATATCAAACCCCATCGAGCCAGTCTAACCTATAACTTACAACACGGTTCGCTTACGATGAATGAGAAAGGTGACCGATCTCCAAACCATCATCACTTGGAACATTCGCAAGACGCGATCGTAAAATTGTATGTCGAATCGAAGAAAAAAGGCACCGATGAAGTAGAAGAAGCAAAGATGTGAACGCGCGGAGACGAAAAACGAGTCAAGGCGGAAAGGATATCTATGGGTCGGATCTTCAAATGGCCGATCTTCGTGTGGTGGGCCATTGGTGGCTCAAGTGGATGAGAACTTGGTGGGGCCGATGGGGCACATGGGACTCATGGGACTCATGGGATCTAATCCTATTGAATGTACCTACCTAGTCGTTGGTCCATGTAAACCCTGGGAGATTTGGAATAACTTCATCTGAAGAATCAACATCCATCCATCCATGTATTGACATCATGATCTTGTTCATCATATATCGAGTATCATCAACATCTATCACCAACATCTGCCATCGTCATCATCATCTATGAGACCTTTGAAAACATCACTTCGGAGAATATTCGTAATCAAACAGTGTATACTACCTCGGTAGGTACTATCTGTAGAAACTTCATCAGCATATGCCATTCATATACCATTGGTGATACCTACCTAGTCATTCGTACAGATATCACTTCCCTTGGAACGATACACAATAACACACGTGATACGCATCGGAAAGTCTATCATTATTCAAATGTTCCAAGACCGCAATAAAGTATGTATTTCCTCGGATCAGTCCACCGACTCGCAATGTTCATTGAAATCTGCTATTGTGGCATCACATCAATCTTCATCACCTAAGTATTGAAAAGTTGCAAAGAACCATGATCCATCTCATCTCATCCCACCCCTTCTCCCATCCACTTTACATTATATATTACTTCCCTCCCGTCAAATATTTGATCTGCTATCATCATTTACAGTCGAATTTCTGCCACTCCCAATTTCCAAATCAAGCTGAAAATCAAATCATTCCGTCGCTTGGATATCTCTATCCTTCGCCCAAATCATCATCGAAAAATCCATCATCTCAACGATCTCTACAAGCCATATCTGGAACAGTTTCATCTGTACATCATACAGAACCCAGAAAACATGACAAAACCTGTCAAGGACGCAAAGACTCAATGACCATGAACCCTACACGTGATCGACATGTGCTCCACGTTCCTGTGGCAGTGTGTGGGATCTCTCAGGGGACATGAGGCTAAACTTTGATGTAACCTTAATGAGTGATCGCAAAGAGATTTTGTGGGCTAAGAGCCGGCACACTAATCATCCATATATAAGATTACGGGAGTGCACCTCAAGTGCCAGACGTTCAGTCGTCGATCTTTCTTTCTCAAACCAGGTCATTCCTTGTTTCTTGTGTGTCGCATTGAGTTGGAGTATCTCTTCTCCGTGACATTCATGACCAGGTCGTCAAAATCCATCTTCATCTTTCCACTCTCTACCAGCTTCTATCGCTCGATTAAGAGCCACATCCCCACGTTTCATTGCTTCTTCTTTGCTTATCTCTAGCCAGCGTTGGATTTCATCAATCTCCCTCTCTAGCTTCTCTTTGATGGTAGAGTCGGGTTTCTCCGAATTCTCCATTTCATCTCCTCTTCCTTCATCTATCAAATTCTGCATCTCTCCATCTCGTATATTCCAGTCCTCAAGTTGAATACCCAAATTATCCTTTTCGGTTTGATTCTCCCAATAAGCTTGATATTCCATCTCTCCTCCAAAGCAAATACCGTACCCATCACAATAGCAAATGTGTTCTTTTGGACATAAAGTCGTTTGTCCTGCAAAAACAAATTGCCATATATATTCCCATACTCGACCACTTATGTAATCCGATATCTCTGTTCTCAACAACCAATCTCGATAGGAAATGTATCTTGCCAGTGGTAGAGTTCGAATCCTCTCTTTCGAAACGGCAAATTGTGCGCAACAAGGTTGGGCAAGCACTTTTGGAATAGGTTTAAGTGGAAAAAGTTCCAACCATGCTCTTGCCATAATAGTCTGCTCTTGTTTATCATCATCCTCCTCCACTACTCCTGGGTGCATCCAATCCGGGCATCCTGGATGCCAATGGCATCGTAGATTCATATATCCTTCTCGTATAACACGTTCGGAAGAGAGTCTCGATATCATCTGAACTGCATCGAGATCGAGAAGTTCATTGTTATGCCATGTCATTTGATGAGAATGCATGAATATGTTGACATCCGAAAGATTGTTGTAATTCTCAATTATATACGAAAGATATATCATAACCTCATGACCTTTGTTCTTTGGTGGATGATATTCGGCTTGAGGATCGTTCGCTGTATAGATGGTTGATTGAATACTCGTCTCATTTTCGAAATGCTCTTTTATCCAATTCACATCTTCCTCTTTCGTACTGGAGATAACGAGCATTTTCGAATATGTTGCAGGAAATGGTTTCACGATGCCTGGACGAAAGGATACTGGTTTTTGTGTTTCTCGCATCGTCCTCCATTCCGCACCATATAATTGTATATCATTGTGCCATTGACCAGCCCCTGATTCGACCGACTCCCATCGAGTGGTGAGAAATGGCTTGACAAGTAAAAGCAAACATGTCGCTGTTAGTAACGAAGCAAATGGGATCAGTTTCTTAGGAAAAGGCATTGTCATATGGAATAAAATGAGAACCAAAGGAGAAAGCAAATTTTAAATTTTTGCTATACATCAAAGTTGAGAAGATCTATGAAAATTCCAATCATCATTACTTGAAGTCATTATCATACATAAACATTTATCAATAATATTGTGGGCTGAATAGAGCTTTCCTAAATAACGAAAACATCAAAGAATGAAGAAATGACGGAAGGAGAGTTTATATTTCTCCTAAGTGATGAGAAGGTTTCAGTTATTCTTTCCTTTTTGGAACGAGGGGAGGGAAAAAATATGAATGCGGATGGGGAAAGTGCGAGATGAGCGGATTGGGGGTATGAATTGGTGAAGGGAGGAATGAAGATTTGTGCGCCACGGATTGATGAATTCGGAATTATTGATTGAGGTTCTTGGGAATGTGGTTTGGAATTTTGGGGGGGATGTGCGGTATGGTGATGGGTTTGTTTTTTTGAGATGGGATGGGTTGGGATGGATGGGGTGAATGGGAAATGGATTGGACTCTAGATTTTGGAGATTCTTAGATTTAGATTTAGATTTAGATCTTTCTGGAGTGGAAATTGGGGAGGGAGGACGGGGAATTGGAGGGGAATTGAGAATAGGTATGGAGTGTTTGGAGATTTACTTGATAATCTTTA